AAACTCCGATCCACACCCTGCCAAGCCGACTCGCATGCGCGACCAGGCTACAGTCGGACCCCGGACGGGCGAGCATCCTTCAAGAAGATGAGACCCTCCATCGGCCAACACACACAAGCACGGAGCTGCCAAGGGTACCCTCCCCAAGATGCACAGCATCCGACAAACACGAATAACAGTAGGGTACCCCTTAGAGGGCATTGGAAACGACAGAGCCGGTGTTGCTGGCTCCGTTTTGCAAGTTTGTCTGCCGGTTCCGTCGCCGTTGTTTTGCCGGTTCCGTCGCCGTTCCTTGTTTTCTGATTCCAGTTCCGGCTCCTATCCTGGAGCCGTCTTTGTTGCCGTTTCCGGTTGCCGCGTTTGAACCGTTTCCACTGTCAAGAGATACCTTTTTCGAAAACAGGGCACAAACGGCCCTTCCAGGGCCTATTGAGGAGTACCCTCCTCGAACCGACCTCGATCTTAGAGCCGGGCCCCGCATCGAGGAGGGGGTGGCGGAGGGGGCGGCGACTGGCAGCGGCGGGCGGCGGGAGGAGGGGCAGGAGGAGAGGCAGCAGAGCAACAAAGAGGGCGGGGGGAGAGGGCGAGAACGGAGACGACGAGGACGACGAGGACGACGAGGACGACGAGGACGACGAAGAGGAAGAGCAGGGCCGCGAGGGCAACGAAGGGCGAGAGCGGAGACGGCGAGGACCACGAGGAAGACGAGGATGCAGGGGTCGGCGGCGCGCAGAGGGGGGTAGGGGGGGAGGGGGGAAGGCCTCTCGGGAGGAGAAGGGATGCTGCTTCTTAGGAGGCCCGGGCTCCTAAATGTACAGACGAGGCCGCGCCTTCGAGGAGGCAGCCCGCCCTCTAAGAAGCCTTCCCCCCCCTCCCCCCGCCACCCTCTGCGCGTGGCCACACCAGGGGGGGGGGAGGGCGCCAACGGAGACGACGAGGACGACGAGGACGACGAGGAAGACGAGGGGAAAACGGCGAGGACGACGACGAACGACGACGAGGAAGACGAGGAAGACGAGGACGACGACGAAGACGAGGAAGACGAGGAGAAAACGGCGAACAATCGGGCGCGGCCTCACCGGCCCCTACCGTGACCAGCACCTCCAAAGAGGTCATCCTCGCCATCCGAGCTTCCCTCCGGCCGCACACATTCGGCGGCGAGCAGGGGGGGAAGTGCGAAGGGGCGGGCCTTCTCAGAAGTCTCGGAAGTCCCATGGCCTTCTGAGAAGTGTTCTAATCCTGCCCCGAAGACAGGAAAGAAAAGAAACCTCTCAGGAGGTGCGAGGGCTTCCGAGAAGTCCCGCCGCCTTCCGAGAAGGCCTTCTCGCATTCTCACCTCCACCCCTCGCTCGCCGCCACTGCATACGTCTCGGGGTGCGTCGAGGTGGACGTCACAGAAGGGGATGGCAGGCCAGGGTCAGGTCGGGCCTGTCCCCCCACAGGCGGATTCTGGGCAAAAGTAATCAAAAACTGAACACCCCCAGAATACTCAAAAACGATCACGAGATCGTCCCCAGGCAATTTGATCAAACTAATTTTGAACAGTCCCCCTGTAGAGGGAACGGCCCGACGTAAGGCCAGGGGGCGGTGAGGCCGCCCCCGAAGCAGGGGCACCGCCGGCCACCAGCTCGCGCACGCGGACCTGCAGGGAGCCCGCGGGCCCGCCGCCGGGCACCTCCGCGAGGGGCACCTCGAGCTCCGCCCCGCCCGCGGAGAGGTGCGCCCGCACCAGCACGAGGACGCCCCTGCACGTGGGCGCCTGCTCCTCGCGAGGCGCGGGGCCTCCCAAGGACGGGGGCCCGAGCAGACGGGGTCGCAGGATCGCGCCGCACCGCCGAGGCCTCGGCGGCGTCGGCGGTGCGTCGGCGGCGCCGGCATGGGGGAAGTCGGGCTCGATCCTTCGAGCCCCATCTGCTTCGACCCCGCCTGGGAGGCCCAGATCCAGAACAGGGCGGCAGGGCTAGAGTGGGGCATGGGCGTGGGCGTGGGTGTGGGCGTGGGCGTGGGCGTGGGCGGTGTGGGCGTGGGCGTGGGCGTTGGCGCAGGCGTGGGGTGTGGGAGTGGGCAGCCGGCCGACCCCAGAAGGCAGGGGGCGTCTTGGGAGGCAGCGGGCTGGGCCCTGTCGCCTCCAAGCCGTGCGCCCCCGAGCCGGGGCGGCCGTCAAGGATCTCGAACTCCACTACGTCCCCCTCCTCGGCGCCGGGGACCTTCTGCTGGAAAGCCCACACGAGGTCCGCGCAAGCGCCGACCTCAACCGCTGGCGGCGTCTGGAACTTGGCATCCGGGTTCCTGCCCCGGACCCAGAACCTTCGAGTAGGAGGTCGACTACAGGATTGAGCCACCCCAAACTTGATTCGCTCGTTGAGTCCATGACATATGTGTAGAAGGTTCGGAGATCTACGAACAGTCCACGCACGATTCCACGAAAAAAACAAAAACCAAAAAAAAAAAAAAAAACTTGTCTGGGCCAAACCAATGCTGCAGTTAGGTCGGGCATGTCCCCCTACAGGCGGATTTGGGGCGAACCATGAAAATGGACAGAGCATATTCAAAAACATGCTCAATGATACCTCAGACCTCGTCCCCGGACCATGCTTTGGCTGTGTTCGATTCTTCCCCCCGCAGAGGGACAGGCCCGACTCCCTGCTGCAGCCGATCCCCTGCTCGAGACCTGCACGTGGCCGGGGCGCCGCCCCCCCGGCCCCGCGCGCGCACCACCGTGAGGGCCAGCGGCACGCCGCGCTGCACCACCTGCGCGCGCAGGGCCGCGGCGGCGCGGCGGGCGCTGAGGGCGCCCGCGGCCGGGCCACGCGGCCCGCTCTGCGGCACCGAGGGCAGCGGCTCCTGGAGGGGGAGGGGCCCGGAAGCGAATCGAAACGAGGGCCTCCCTCCTCCTCCTCCTCCTCCTCCTCCGCCGCCTCTTCGTCTCCCTCTGCTTCTTCTTATTATGTTTTTTAGTATTCGTCTTCATCTCAATCGTACGATTATCAATGTGAATATTAATACGATTAGTATGAGTATTGTTATTCGCATTCGCATTCGTATTCAGATTCGTTGTCAGAGTGAGGGAGCCAGACGGTCATTCATTGTCCCAGGGCGCGTGGCTGAATCAGAAATTCGTGGTGAGAATTCTGCTTGTTGCGTTGTTGTTGTTTGTTGGTGTTGTTGTTGCTGTTCCTGCTGTTGTTGTTTGTGGTGGCGGTGGTGTTGTTATTGTTGCTGTTGCTGTTGTTGTTGCTGGTCTTGCTGCCTGTTGCTGTTGCTGTTGCTGTTGTTGTTGCTGGTTTTGCTGTTGTTGTTGCTGTTGCTGCTGCTGTTGTTGTCGTCGTCGCCGTCGTCGTCAATGTTGTTGTTGCTGGTGTTGTTATTTGTTGATTAATGTCGTCGTCCCACCCGCGACCCATCCCGCGACCCACCCCGCGACCCACCCCGCGACCCACCCCGCGACCCAACCCGCGACCCAACCCGCGACCCACCCGCGACCCACCCGCGACCCAACCGCGACCCAACCGCGACCCAACCGCGACCCATCCCGCAACCGATCCGCGACCCATCCGCAACCCACCCCGCGACCCACCCGCGACCCACCCCGCGACCCACCCTCAAGGGAGGAAAAACCACCCGGACCCGACAACTGACGTTTACTAAACGGCCCGGGGCGTTGACTAAACAGCCATGCCCTGTTCGATTCATTCCTTGAGTGCGTTTACTAAACGGCTTCGCTTGTCGGGGTGATTATTATGGGGTGGACATTCTGCCCTCTACACCCGCGACCCACCCGCGATCCAATAACGACCCACCCGCGACCCATTTGCGACCCTCCCGCGACCTACCCACATTGGTTTAACGAAAAAAAAGCGCCTGCGGTAGGCTCGCTGTATAATGTGTGAAACTGTTGCGCCTGCGGCGGGATTCTCCAGAGTCTCGCAAACTGCCGACGTCCCCACCACCCCCTCACTCGTATCCGCATCTGCTGGGTGCTACGTATTATGAGTAGCATTTATAAAAATAGGATTCACCATCTTCTGCTCATTATTCGTATTATCCTCCTCCTCCTCCACCATCACCACCTCAACCTCCACCTCCTCCGCCTCCTCCTCCTCCTCCTCTTTCTCCAACTCCTCCTCCTCATTCTTCCCTCCCTCCCTCACTCCCTTCCTCCCTCCCTCCTCCCCCTCCCCCATCTCCCTCCCCCTCCTCCTCCTCCTCCTCCTCCTCCTCCTCCTCCTCCTCCTTCTACTCCTCCTCCTCCTGCTCCTCCTCCTCCTCCTCCTCCTCCTCCTCCTCCTCCTCCTTCCTCCTCCTCCCCTCCTCCTCCTCCTCCTCCTCCTCCTCCTCCTATTCGTCCTCCTCCTCAGTTGCATTGTACTCCTCGTCCTCCTCCTCCTCCTCCTCCTCCTCCTCCTCCTCCTCCTCTCCTCCTCCGCCTCCTCCTCCTCCTGCTCCTCCTCCTCCTCCTCCTCCTCCTCCTCCTCCTCCTCCTCCTCCTCCTCCTTATCATCATCGCCATCCTCCTCCTGGTCCTCCTCCTCCTCCACAGCTACACCACATGAATACTACTGTCTTGTCTCCCCTTATGGTGTCCGGGAAATGTCCGATGCCCCTCCACGCACTGGCTGTTTACACACAAGATTCCCTGGAGTTGGGTTTTCGCTCGGGTTGATTTCCAACGCTGGCCTCATACCGTTCATTCCGAATCGTGTTCCCGCTGCCAGCGTTGGCCTCGTGTCCGCGCTTCCACTCGTTCCGAATCGTGCTCCCGCTGCGTCGCTAGCGTCACTATTTCCAGCGCCATGCCACGGCATGGTTTTCGGTCCATCCAAATGGGCACCAAAATATTGAAAATGCCTCCCGCCCCCCACCCCCCCAAAAAAAAACACCGGAAGTGATTCCACAGTCGGTCTTGATTCGTTGATTTCTGGAGCCGCAGAAGCTGTCGCCGGCCACGCCATGCTATGTCAGGCTTCGCGTCCTCATGTCCGCGTGCCCGCGCTTTGGCTGTTTGAAAAAATGCTCGTCGCGCTGCAGCGTTAGCCTCATGTTCTGGCTACTGCTCGTTCCGAATCGTGCTTCCGCTGCAACGCTGGCCTCATTTCCGCGCTTCCGCTCGTCATGATTCGTGCTCACACTTCAGCGCTGGCGTCATTATTCCCAGTGCCATGCCACGGCATAGTTTTCGGTCCTTCTAAATCGGCCCCGTTCTCCAAAATCTAAAACGTGGCCTCCCGAAAAAAAACATCGGAATACACATGCGGTGACGACTCGTTCATCTGGGGCCGCAGAAGCCCCCCCACTCTTTGGGGCATCGCCACGTCATGCTATGTCTTACTACGCATTGCTATTCGGCACCATGCTGTGCCAAGTAATGCTACGCCCTGTTGCGACATCCGATTGTGCGAATAGAATGGAGATCTACGCCATGGCAAGGGATGGGAGAGAGGGGCAGGACGTCAGATATGACGCAAGAGCACCTAGCTTGTCCTCATCCCCTTCCCCTCCCCCTCTCCCTCCTCCTCGGCGATCGAAGCGAAACGGACCAGCGAAAAAGTCGGCGGCCGAGTCGAGAGAGAGAGAGGTCACATCGGCGGACATCGGCAGGCCAATTGGGCCTCCGTCAAGGGAGCGACATCCGAACCGGCATCGGAGTCGATCTGAGAAACCTTCGCGCTGTCTGAGAGGCTGAGACAACTCCTCAGAAAGCCGGGGAACTTCCAAACCTTCGAGAGAACGCGTTAACCCCTCCCCCTGGTTCTGATCGGAACGCGTTCAGAGACGAGAACGCGTTTCGATCAGAACCAGGGGGACCCCCCTCCCCCCTACCCCCCCCCGTCCCCCCCCCTCCCAAGGGGGGGGTCCCTCCCCCCCCTGGGAAAGGAGTAAGGATTATATCTCCCCCAATATTTTCTCTTCCGGCTTCTCGGGGAAGGGAGGGGTTCGAACGCCCCCCCTCACCCCTCGGTGCCGGTGCTGGCGCCTGCGCTGGCGGCGGCTGGCAGCACCAACGGCAAAACACAGCGACGATGACAAGAGAGAGCCCAGAGGCCGCAGCGGGAAAATACAAATCGCAAAATTGAGCGGCGCGCGGAGCGCGCCAGGGGCGTCGCGGGAGGCGCCGCCAGGGGGGCCCAGCGCGGATCTGCGAAATCCGCGCGGACCTCCGAAATTTATGTTTATGTCACTGTCCGTTCCCCGAATGATAACCCTCACCCCTCCCGCCTAATCCTACGTCGGGCTTGTCCCCCTGCAGAACAAATTATAATACCCTATTACAAATACAAAACAAATTATAATAATATTAATAATAATAATAAAAAATAATAATAAGAAGAAGAAGAAGCAGAAGAAGAAGAAACAGAAAAAATGTCCCCGTGCGATCTTTGAAAATTATTGAATAGTCCCCCTGTAGAGGGACAGGCCCGACTTAACCCTAATCCCCCCCCCCTCTGCACGTGGCCGCGCCCCGCCTCTTCGCCGCCGCCCGCCCCTTCCCCCCCTCCCCCCCCCATCACCCTCCCCTCCCCCCCCTCCCCCCCCTCCACCGCCTGCCTCCCTCTACTCCCCCCCCTCTCTCCCTCCCACCCCCCTCACCCCTCCCCGCCCCTCCCCCCTTTTCCCCCCATCCCTTCCCCCCCCTCCTTCCTCCCCCCCCTGATTGTAGGTCGGGCAGGTCCCCCTACAGGGGGTATTTGGGCGAAAAAAACATATTCAAAAAATGCCCCCCCCAACATGGGCAAAAATAGTCAAAAAAATCGTCCCAATACTATTTTTAACTATTTTTGTGTAGAGGGACAGGCCCGACTTAATCACTGCTCCCTATTAATAAACACCCCCTCCCCGAGGCGACTGGGAGCCAACAAGGGACAATGCGGGCACTCCCCCACCATCCCTAGTAAAAAACAATACGAAGCACACTCTGCCTCCAAATTCGGAGCATGCGCAGCCAACCCGATGCGACCTCACCCCACCATCCCTGTCAAAAAACAATACAGAGTACACTTGGCGGCGGCGGCGGCGGCTGCGGCGGCGGCGGCGGCGGCGGCGGGCGCGGCGGCGGCGGCGGCGGCAGCGGCGGCGGCGGCGGCGGCGGGCGGCGGCGGATTGGCCCCCAGTAGCTGCCCATCCAAAGACGACTGCTGAATATGCTGAGGCTCGGGCCAAACTCGGGTGCTACGTATGTGTTGGGAGGGCGGGTGGGAGTGAGCGAGACGGCTTGCGGGCGGGGAGGGACAGGCCCGACTTACCTAAATGAATCCCCCTCCTCCTCCCCTCCTCCTCCTCCTCCTCCTCCTCCTCCTCCTCATCCTCCTCCTCCTCCTCCTCCTCCTCCTCCCCTCCTCCCCTCCTCCTCCTCCTCCTCCTCCTCCTCCTCCTCCCCCTCCTCCCCCTCCTCCTCCTCCTCCTCCTCCTGCGCGTGGCAGCGCCCCGCCTCGTCGCCGCCGCCGGGCGCCGCGGCGGTGCCCGCCGCGCGGGCCGGCGGCGCGGCCCGCGGCGAGGCCGAGCCGCGCGGCGTGGCCTGGGCGAGGGGGAGGCGGCCCGGGCGGCCGTCGATCGGAAGGGTGGCCCTACACCCTGCGAAATGCTTAAGAAATCATGGGTTAAGAAATTCATAGTCTCAGAACTTGAACAAAAACCCAAGATTTCCATCAAAATCTTAGGATTTACATTGAAACGTTAAGAATAATCGAGACTCTGGCCGAAAACTTAGGTTTTCTTAAGCATCGCCGAAGGTGCATACCGTCGAGGCGTTGACCTAAGGAACCCTAAATAAGGAACGAGGCCCCCATTTTCCATGAGTGGAGCTGCGACTTCGTAACTCGAAAACCTGAGGGACATCCAAGGCAAGC